ACGAACCTGTAATCGATACATCTTATTGTCAGCTCGTTTGCACCAAGCATGAATTGGTGTACCCATTGTTTGTTTACCCATTTGACACTGATAAACGTTACGTGGTGATTGATTGTGGTCCGGGAATGGGATTAAATTGCCAGCAAAACTGAACAAACAACTCGGATGCAGTTCTTGATGTTCAGTCACACCAGGCTCTGCTTCGCTCGGCTCTATACATATCGACAGATAAACTTGCTCAAACGTTCCTGAATTGCAATATAAATTCATTTACATTCAACCAATACGATAAAATTCTCACAAAAATGTCAATCAATCCCTCATTCCAGTATGAAAAGCAAAATCACTCGTATCGCCGAGAATATCACCTACCAATAAATTCAGTCGTATTCGCCACCAGATTCTTCACTGGACGTATCATATGTGCTGGATCAGAGAGGATATACAATCCCGGATATTGAGTGAGAATGCGAGTTGGATCTTCAGAACGCTTGATCAATACAATTTCACAGCAATACGGCACGCTCTTGTCTTTCTCATCCACTTTTCTTAGCCGTAATTGCTTTTCCACATACGACGCCTTCGAATACGGAACATATCCAACGAAACGTCCGTCCACTAACACTGGATACATCTGAAATTCTTCTCATTCAAACACTCCATCTTTCATTTTGCTATTCATAATCGGGGTGTCGAGCAGAATTGACAAATAAAAGAACTCATTCATTACACAATTACGAATAAACGATCGCAAAACAATATTCAATAACAAAACCGAAGTCACCTCATCACTATTCGTCAGTGAGACTGCTGAATGCGTTAAAACACCCAGTTCGTTCAGCAACGTCGAAATATGCTTCAGTGATGAGTAATGTGTAACGATGCGTACACTCGCCGTGACATGATTCAACAGGCCACACGGCGCACCATCTGGAGTATGTACTGGACAGATAAAACCCCACGCTTCTGGACGTAACTTTCGAACGTCTGTGGTGCGCATTTCCATGAAGAATGCACCACGGTGAATTGCTCTCAAATACGAACCATATCTATTATCGCTAGCAACAATCTAATACTACCATGATCAGTATCAATGTCAACGTCAACATCACCACTCTTATTGACATCCTACTCACTACGACNTCAAAACCAAAACTCAGATCAGACCAATCAAAAAATGAACCTGAAATGTGATACGAATCGCAAATAGTTGATACGCTCTGCAATAACCGAAAAACCTTGCGTTTGTTGAAGTCCTAAACCGGTTTGGGTCACCAGATTGCCAGTTGCTAAGAAAAATTCCATACCACGCGTGATCGAGCCAGCACCACGAAGCGCTCGAAGAAGTTCACGACTGAATGATCACAACTACTTCATATATTCAGTCACCTTACTATTTATCTCCACTTTATTACATCTTGTCAATACATCCTAGAACTGAGCGTGCTCATGTGTATAGATTGCTCTGGTTCTTCTGACTATTCCTTACCAACTTCACTTCTTCACACTAGTAAAGGATTCTCATACAACCGAGCGCATCATACAAACATGACTGCATATCAAATCATACTAAACAGAACTAATGAATCGAAATTGCTGATTCATAAAAATTTCCACTGTCAACGTTCAAATACATTTTCTCGATCACACATGATCAAAATGCGCACTGTTAAATGGCTAGCTAATAGAGCACACCTAAGCATACCTGTTCAACCTAAATGTTTCCTTCTTCTGCGCTTCTTGTTCGATTCGATACCTCGCATTGCGCAGGACAGTCTCCAATCTCTCTCGTAGTGTCAACAACATGATGTGTCCTGAGACGGCCGCCTCTTGGAACTGAGGATTATCCGGTGATTCTGGTGCACATTCACCTTTAGCTAGTGCCACCAACTTTTGAGCCATATAAACGAGCAGAAAGAACTTCTCTTCATTATCACTCAAATGGATTGCCACCGAAGATCGTAACAAAAATGCACCAACATCCTAAAAAGTTTTCAAATGTAAGTCTGACCGACCCACTTTCAACATTCACCATAGAATCTCACCAGCATTTAACCACAATTAAATAAAAACAAATAAGTTACTACTTCCAAAATAATGCTACTCTCACTTATAACGCGT